GTTAAACAAGCTGCTAAAAATATATTTCATGTGCTTACAAATATATGTTAGCCAAAAAGATATATTTATAAAGGGAAATACAAATTTAACATACTCTTCAATGAACTGGAGTATTTAAAAGGCTATCAAATTTAATTTATAATTAACGTTTTTAGTTTTTACCTGTTTCAAAAGAAAAAAAATAGCAAATCTTTTAATCATATCTAATTTGCTATAGCAGTTTGATATAGTCAGACATTCATTTTCATTAAAGCTAAATGAGTATGCAGAACTAGGAAATGATTATGAGAACCAATTTTGTTATTTCATGGACTTGGAATTATAATTTTTGCCGCTGATTTTCTTGAACTGAATTTCTTGAACGAACAAGTACTGTAGTTGTATTTATCTTGTTTTTCTTATCTTTTTTTAACTAAATTCAGCTGATTGCTATCTTTTTCAGCATGCAGATTTCTCGCTAATGTTAATTCAGAAATAAGTATTTTTTAGCAAAATGTTCTTTTCCTAAGCGAGCGTTCATCGCTCTTCTGCCGCCATTAATTTTTGGTGACTACACATTATTGCTCCTTTTTTACCACGTGACCCAACGCATCTGCAGATACGGGAATTGAACATTGTTGAACTTCATGTCATCCGTCACCGCACACCACCATGCAGATGTCAATCGTGAATTCTCGCTGTTAGAAACGCATACACAGCAGTGGAAGCGGGCCTTTAGAACCATACTACAGATTTCGCCCTCCGTTAATTGATTGATGATTGGGGCATTGTCATCGCAATGAAAAACTTCTGTTTAATTTCCCTAAATTCTGCCGCCTGTTGCGGCCATGCGAGCTCTGGCACTGGTTCTGACTTTATGTGAATAACAAATCAGTTATTCTTAATTCAAATAGCACTAAATATAATCGTTTGTCCTATGAGTATCATTAACAAAATCTATTTTTAGCATAAGGAAAGAAATTTCTGTTAAATCTCCCCTTGTCAACATTTTAGCGCATTAAACTTAAATCTGTAATCGGATAATACTCTGTTATTTGGCGTCGCTGCATGAGTCATCACTCAAGTTGTCATCCGTTGATAAACATGCGGTGATGAAAGCAAAATACAATAAATAATGATTCGCGATTTCGGCATCAAGGATATAAATATTAGTTGGTGTAAAATTAACAAATGTTTCGGTTTGAGATTATGCCAAGCAGATACGCAGCTATGGAGTCAAGTTACTAATCACACAAATTTATGCTAAAATAATTATTTCTTCAATAATGAGATATTTTATTTAGCGCCAAACTGAGATTGAGGATTGGGATTTCCGATCGGGAGATAAGAATCGGGAAGATTAAGAATCTGGATTAGCTGCAAAACATCTTTCCCTTCTCAACTGCAGAGTTTCTTCTAACAGTATCATGAATTTTGTCAAGTTAGAAGAACCATCTACTTCAGGAAAGGATGTAACTGCTAATTCAACATCAATAAGTGTAGAAAATAATGAAATCAATTCTTTTCTTTTCAAATCTGAAGTTACAGATGCAGAAATATTGTGGGCTTTTAAGTGCATCAAAAGCCACTATTCTTTTAAATCGTGCGATGATATTGGGCCGTTATTCACTAAAATGTTCCCGGATAGTTCCATTGCAAAATAGTTTTCATGTGGTGAAAAGAAATGTGCTTATATCTGTTATTTTGGTCTTGGCCCTTATTTTAAAACTTTGTTACTAAAGCATTGTAAAAATGCTGAGTTTTTTACATTACTATTTGATGAGACTCTTAATCTGACAAATCAAAAGAAGCAACTAGATATTTATGTGAGGTACTGGCATCACGAAAATAAGGTCAGAACTCAGTACCTTACTTCTTCTGCATTTATAGGGCATGCAACAAGTGAAATTATTTTATCCAAATTTTATGAATGTGTAAAAAAACTAGACTTGTCAAAACTCTTACAAATATCGATGGATGGTCCTGCAGTAAACTGGAAATTTTATGATTTATTGCAACAGGACTTGACAAAGGAATATAACATTCAATGCTTGACATTAGGGACATGTGGTTTACACATTCTTAACAATGCTTTCAAGCATAGGATGTCATCCACTGGCTGGGACATTCCATCATTCTTATCCTCCTTATATTGGATTTTTAAAGATTCTCCTGCAAGACGTGAAGATTTTTTAAGTATATCTGGCTTAAAAAAGCTACCTGTGAAGTTCTGCTTTTACCGATGGTTGCAAAATGTCCCAGCAGTTGAAAGAGCCATTGAAATATGGGATGACTTGCTACTGTACATTAAAGAAGTTGAAATGGGGAAGTTTAAAAAAAAATTCATCGAAATCCTTCTCAAATATTTTGGAGGCAACTAAAGATAAAACATTTCTTATAAAATTAAATTTTTTTTCTCTCTCTGTCGAAAATATTATTGCCTTTCCTTGAATATTATCAAAGTGATAAACCACTTATTCCCTTTTTTGCTGAAGATATCTTAAAACTTGTAAATGATTGCCTTCAGCACTTTAAAATTTTGAAACTAGAATATTCAAAAATAACTAAAGCAGAAAATCTTTATAAATTTAATTTTAATGATCCAAATTGTTATAATGATAAAAGTAAAGTTTATTTGGGATTCATTGCTGAGCAGTTAATGAATGATAAATGCCGCAAGAAGGACATTTCACAAGCTGAAAGTTTTGCATTGAAACAAGAAGGTCAACAATGTGTCTTAACAATAGTACAACACTTAATGTCTAAATGTCCAATAAATTATTCTCTTATTCGAAATGCATCTTGTATAGACCCGCGATTGATGGTTAAAAGTCCAGAAAAAGCCCAGAACAAAATGAAAATAGTTCTAACGGTATTAATGCAGAATAAACGTGTTTTACAAGATGATTGGGATGAAATTCTGCTGCAGTTTGGAGAGTTTCTAGACAAAGTAGTTAAGACAAATTTACATGAATTTTCTACTTTTGATCCTCAAAATCTTTCTCTTGACACATTTCTCACTTCTTATTTTCATGATTTTCACTATTCAAAAGTATGGAAAATAGTGAAAATGATTCTTATCTTGTCACATGGACAGGCCTCTGTGGAAAGGGGCTTCTCTGTAAATAAAGCAATTGAAATTGAAAATTTAAGTGACTCATCATACATTTTTCAACGCACAGTATTTGATTACATAAAATTTTCTGGAGGTGTTCTTAATATCGAAATTAATAAAGAAATGAGATCAGCAGCAGCTTCTGCAAGGTCTAAATATATGCAGTATTTAGAAGAACAAAAATCTTTAACTAAATCTGAAAATTCAAAGAGGAAAAGAAATATCATTGAGGAAGAAATTGATTATATGAAGCAGAAGAAAAAATTTCTTCAAAGGGACATTAAAGATATTAATGAAGAAGTAGATGCTTTAGCAGATGAAGCTGAGACCAGCATGAACATTGATTTGTTTATCAAAGCAAATGAACTTAGAAGAATAGTTAAAGAAAAGGAAATAGACATAAATAAATTAGATGTTAAAATAGCTGAAAAGATTTCAGATTTAAAAAAAGCACAAATGTTTTGTATCTTTTATTGTACAGTTTATTATTCTAGTATCTTTCAAAAAACCAAGGAAATAAATTGTATGTTTACAAATCAGTTATTTTAATCTGCAAAATATTCTTACATTGTGATTATAATAGTAGTTGACTGTGTTTAAATAAATATCAAATAAGTTAAATAATAATCATGTAAATCTCTAAAATAGTGACTGTTATTAGTGTAAAATACACTTATACATGTTTTTAAAGAAATTATGTTCCTAATTTAATGTTATCTACTTCATAACTTGTAGGGAGTTAGTTTAATTTTCAAAATTGTTTTATGGTAAGTATTAAAGTGAATTTAATAATAGTGCATAATACACACTTCTGTTAGTTTCTTAAAGTGAAATTACAAGCATGAAGTCGGTTGTATGGATAATTGCTTTATTCTATTCGTTTTTTTGTTTGCTGATAGGTCCTTAATTTTTTCTTTGATGGTCCTTAATTTTCATGTAAGGAAATGTGTACGAACCCTGAATCTCAAAATTGTCTTCACTGAATATTTGATTATAAACAGCATTGCACTTGCTGAAAAACAGAATTTTGAAATGCCAAAGACCTTGGTAAATTATATGGAGTAAAAAAAAAAAAAAAATGATGAATGGATTGGTATATGCCTGCTGCCCATGTGGTATGCATATCACATAAATATTGAAGGAATATAATGATAGATTCCTGATAACATCCATTTGATAAATGACTAGATAAGGTAGAAGTAATAAAAAAGGAATTGTGTAAATCAGAAGTGTATAGTATTCCTATTCAAGATGAGATAGTAGGAAGTCATCACAGTGTGAACAGTCTCGATGAAACACAGTATGTAGGCCTAGAGATTTATCAGCTAGAGTTATGAAATACAAGAGTGACATGCAGATACTCATCAACAACAATAAAATTGATTAAAACATTATATATTTAATTAAATGTGTAAATGGTCACCCACCCTCAGAAATAGGTTGGAAGCAAATTAAAATCCTGAGGAAACTCGTAAAAATAGCCATAAAATTAGGGAGGCAACAAAAATTACATTTGGGCTGTGCTTTCAACAACTTTATGTATTTTGACAGTCAATAGTTAAAAAGGAAATAATCTGCCAGTGAATGGTAATTGTTATATTGTAACCACAGATAAATTCACTTGAAAGCGAGATAGGGGGAAAATTGTCAATTAGAGGGAAAAAACAGAACATTGTTTGAGTTCCACCTGAAATGTAAGCAGATTGCCATGAAAGTTCTAATAGAACTATATAAACTAACATATTATCTGAAAACAATAACACTTCTTCAAAGTATCGAAAAAGCAGTTGCCAAATTAAGAGTGAAATAGTCAATTATAAAAAAAAATTCAGTTTCATATAAAGATGTACATATTATTGAATATGCTGTTTTGTATTTGAATTTAATACTATTTTTCTTTTAATAGTTAAATGGGGAGAAAGGATATATTTCAAAAGGTTTTATCAAAGAAACAAAATCTTTTGTAAAGAAGCTGGTGTCTGCAGAAGTAGATGTAAGTAAAGAATTAGTAGAGATAATAAGACTTTTTATTATAACACTGAGCTAATTTTGTTTTTTCACTTTGTTTAATTAAATTTCAGGCCTTTTTTAAAACATTTTTGGGGAATTTACTTTGTTTATATTTTATCTTGTTTCTTTTGAATTATTTTTGCATTGTCATAATGTGGCAATAAAAACATTTGTCTTCTGAAGTTTTTTTTTTTTTTTTTTTTTTTTTTTTTTAAGCCCAAAAGCGCATTACCTCAGAAATGCTATTAGTCTTGTAATGGCATTTTGTGTTGAATCACTATAAATGGCTGTATCACTTTTCAAATTGTTGCCACTAAATATTATCTACCTGTGTTATACATAGACTCCAACTACTACGGATTCTCCGTAGTTTCTACGGAAATTCATGAAAAACTACGAGCTATGAAAAGTATGGAAAAAACTACGGATTTTACAGAAACAAGAGCAGGAGAACCAGTACGCAAAACGGAACCAACTAATTCATCCGATGATTGGCTGAATACTCGTGTTATCATATATCACGTGTTGAGTGCGTTCCTAGTTTTGAAGAATTAGCCAATCGTAGATCAGTAACTCCAACCGTTAACGACTTATCAATAGTTCCACCCAATTGTCTGTCTCCCAGGTTCCTCGCTGATGCGTGTTTAGGCTGCATTCGGCTGCATTGTGTAGTTTACGGCGAGAGCTTAGCGTGTGTCTTGTGAACTGTGAATCAGGTGAAAGATTTTTAATCATAATGCTGCCTCGAACGAAGAAGCCAAAATTATCAAAGCAGAAGTTTAAAGATTCATATTCTTCAGAATTTCCATGCATTAAAGCGTCCGAAATTTCTGTGAATCACGCACACTGCAGTGTATGCAACAAAGACTTCTCAGTTGCTTATGGCGGAAAAGATGACTGTAAACGGCATGTGTTTTCTCAAAAGCATATAGAACTTGGCACCGTAAAATCTAAAGAAATAACAAATTTCTTAATAAAAGATGATGAAACAGATCCTATAAAAGCCGAATGCTATTTTGTTCGTTTTTTAATTGAACATAATCTACCGCTTTCTGTTTCGGATCATTCCAAAGAGCTTTTCAAAGCAATGTTTCCGGATTCTGCCATAGCAAAAAAATTTAGCTGCGGTCATACCAAAACTGCTGCTATTGTGAAAACGCTTGCAGAAAATACTGTTGCTGATATTATAAAATCAGTGTGCAGTACATCATTTTCTCTAAGTACTGATGGAAGTAATGATAACAATGATAACAAACTGTACCTATTGGTTATAACATACTACAGTAAAGAAAAGGAAGTGATAATTACTTCATTGATTTCTATTTTAGAATGCATGAATAATACAGGAGAAGGTATTTTTAATTGTATAAATGAAAACTTTAAAAACAAAGGTTTAGAATGGAAAAATTGCTTATCATTTTCTTCAGATAATGCTAGTAATATGATTGGAAAGTTTAAAGGTGTAGCATCATTTATCAAAATGCATCAACCAAGTATAATCACCCGAGGTTGTCCGTGCCACCTCTTGCATATAGCTGCAAAAAAAGCTACTGAAAAATTAATTGGCTCAGAAATTGAAATGTTGATAATAGATATATATTTTTACTTGGAGTTGATAATAGATATATATTTTAAACGGAAGCATAGCTTCAAATTTGCTCAACAAATTTTGGGACAGAATGCAAAATCTTATAAAATTTTGAAATATTGCAGTACGAGATGGTTGTCTCTTTTAGAATCTATAACAAGGATTTTGGAACAGTGGGATGCTGTGATAAAATTTTTTGGAGATAAACCAGATAACAGTGAGAATGAAGGAAAGAGATTGCAAAACATTAAAAAAATTTTACAGTCACCGACCACCAAATTGTAATTGTTATTTTTGAAAAATACTTTGCCTTTGTTTATAACAGTAAATATTAATTTGCAACAACAAGCTCCTTATATACATAAATTGAGAAGAGAACTTTTTGAACTTTTAATGAATTTATTTGTTAGATTCATAAAACCATCAGTAATTTCTAAAGAAAATGAAGATGTTACTCTAACGTCTATTCCATTTCAGAAGTATAGTAAACAAAAAAAAAAAAAAAAAAAAAAAAAAAAAAATGAAAATTTAGTGATTGGTGCGGAAACAAGACTATATTTAAAAAATGCCAAGTTGAATGAAAGTGAAGTGAAATCATTTTTCAATTCTGTGCGAGCTTTTTTTGTAACTGCATGTTCATATATAATTGATAAATTTCCACTGAGTGATCCATTTCTAAAACATGCTGAAGTTGCTGACATCAACTTGAGAACTGAAGTCTCATTTTCATCTGTTCTTTACTTGATGAATACTTTTCCATCCATTATTGATGAAAAATGTCTTAATCAAGTAGAAATTGAATTTTCCATGTATCAAGTAGATGATTTGAAAGAAATTGTATATTTGCGTATTGATATAGCATGGGGAGAAATTGCCAAATTAAAAAATATGAATGGGTGTATTAAATACAAAGTATTGCCTTCTGTAATGCTTGCTGTCTTAATAATACCTCATTCAAGTGCAGCTTGCGAAAGAATTTTTTCTATTGTTAAAAAAAATCAGACGGAATTTCGACCAAATTTAGGTCTTAAAACTCTTGAAGCAGTTTTGATTGAAAAAATAAATATGCAGGCAAATGAAGAACTGTGTTATAAAAAAACATTCTCAAAATCAGAACTTAAGCTTGCTAAGCATGCTACATATAAATCTTTGCATTCATAAATTATGCGTATTTTGTTTAATACTTATATGTATCATTCTTGGTTATTTAAATTTTATTTCCCTGTAGAAATCACATCCAGAATAAAGATATGATTTATAGCTTCTGATTTTTTCTATGATTAGTAGTGATTTGAAGTACTTTTTATTAGTGAATGCTTGAGGAGTTAAAAGAAAATTTCTAATTAAATGTGCATATAATTTACAAGGTATATTTTTAATTATTCAGTTTTATATGTATATGGATTTTAAATGTAATAAAATTGATTACAATTAATTATTAATTTAAAATTAATGAATGGTTAATTACAACATACGCTACGCGCACATTTTCAAAGTTGTAAAAATGTCGTTCGCGCGTTGACTACTGACAAGGTTTGCTGAAGGTTGGAGTCTATGGTTATATTTAAAGAATTTAAATAATGAAGAATCTGCATGAATGTAAGTATGTTTCTTGTATTGTGAAAAAATTATGATACCTAGAGCTATCAGATTTTGAATAATGTAGTCCTTCACCAGAATATGAGCACCTGGAAGCCCGAATCTTGAATTTCAAATTCCTAATTTTTCATTTCTTGGATTTTTTTTTGTCCTCTAATTTAATTTCTTCCCTTAAAAAGTAACTGTATTACATCTTAATATTGATTTTTTAAAAATTAATTAATAAATTAAGATTTTTATTCAGAAAGTTTGATTAGGTCGTAGCTATTGTGTTTGCTTAACTTTATGTAGAGTAGCGGTTAAATGATAAAACAGTTCAAGCAGTTAAAACAAAGTAATTGCCTTGCTTCAAAGGGTATTTATGATGATTGAATTTTTTAAATGTATTTAGTCTGGTGGATAGGTAATTATTAAATTTTAGAAAATATATGCATAGCTGAATTTCTTAGGTAAATTTCATAGATATGTTTATATATGACTGAAAAGTTCTAGACCAGGGGTTCTCAACCGGTGGTACGCAAGAGAAAAATAGGTTGTACGCAAAGAAGCAAATTATTTTTAACTATTCAATTAAAAAATTAAAACCCTAACATCCTGTTAAACATAAAAAATGCTGGGGTTCACAAAACAAATATTTATTACTGAGATATGCAGAGTTACATGCCAGGACATACAAGCAAGCAGAGGTAAGCACAAGCAAGCAGAGGTAAGCACAAGCACAGATAAGTAAGTACAAGCAGAATAATACTAAGCAGCGATAAGCGGTTACAGAGGTCATATATATAACTTTACAATGCATCATGGTTTAACAAATCATAAACAAGACACAATAAATAACCAATCAAAAGTAACATACAGAATGGGATTAAGTTTTGGAATAACTCGGACTTGGCTGAAAGCTAATGAATATATTGGACGTGACAGAAAGCTATACTTCTATTAACCAACAAGAATGCGATTATAAACATCTCAACACTCCCCCTTAGTCGCATGTTATACAAAACATAAAAGAATTACACAATTTTTAAACAGCTCAATGATAACAGTTCATAGAATTTTGTTTTGGACAAAGCCTTAGTTAAGATACCTGCAATTTGTAAACCTGATTGTACATATTCAATTGTAATATTATTTTCCTTAACAGTCTTACGAGTGAACTTTAATTTTATATCAATATGTTTCAACCTACCTGAAAAGTTTTCATTAACAATACTTTTAATACATGACTGGTTATCCTCAAAAATATAAACATTTTTAACACTGGAAATTTAATTTACTACATTTTATCCATAAAACATCTTGAATACCTTTACATAAAGCAATTATTTCAGCTTCTGTTGATGAAAGTGCAGTACACTTTTGCTTGTTACAGCACCACATAATAGGACAGTTTGAAAACATTATAAAGTAACCAGTAATTGATTTCCTATCTTGAGTATCTCCCCCCCCCCAATCTGCATCTACATACAAACACAAGTTTGCCCTTTCCAAATCACCCTTTTTGTATATCAATTTTAAATTTAAGGTGTTTTTCAAGTACCTAAGAATTCTTTTTAGAGCACACCAGGCAACATCAGTAGGATGCTCCTGCAGTTGGCTTAAGAAATTTACTGCAAAAACAATATCTGGCCTTGTGATATATGCCAAGTAAAGCAAAGATCCAATTAATTCTTTGTAGGGACCATGAAATGCATTTCCTTTCTGAAAATCAGCTGCTGTAGATTTTGGTTCAATGGGAGTTTGGGCTGTTTTACAATCAGACATTTTAAATTTATCAAGTAATTTTTCAATATATG